CTTTGGTTCCATAGTGGGTTTAATGTAAATTAGTTTCATATTAATATTTTTTATATAGAGGTAGTCCTATATTAATCTTGTTATGGTTACATTCTGGTATGATAAAAGGAACATTAAAATTAACCAGTCCATAAGTTATGAATGAGCACCATTATTACTTTTCAAAATGTCATCAGTCACACTGGTCAATTTTACGGCCACATCATAATCAGCCCCTCATTTAGAATGTTCACTTTGTCTGGTTTTGTTGCAGTCTGCCCCAAATAATGTAAACAAGTAGCTACTAATGTTAATAACGATAAAGATTATAAAATTAAATTTACAAAAGAAATAGGTTATACTCATTAATCATTCTGATGCTTTTATTAGTATTGTATTTTCGAGAATGCGCATCTATTATAAAAACAATAAAATTATGCTTATGAAAATTCGAATCATTTGTTAACCCAATAAATTGTCATTGCTCTAGCGTTGAGGCAAAATAGAAACACCTAACGATGATTATATTATCAATAAACTAATTTTTATCATGTCACAACAGATATTAAGCGAGAAGATCTGCCGAGTGATTATATTCAGGATCGTCGAGTTTAGAAATAACTATATCACAATGACATTATTGTAATTTATAAATAGCAAATGAAACATCCTCTCGTATAATTATAGCCGCTCGATCACCATAGCTGAAGCCGCTCCACCTCCATTACAAATGGCTGCAGCACCTAATTGCCCCTGTTTTAGCAAATGGGTCAGAGTAACGAGGATCCTTGAACCTGATGATCCGATGGGATGTCCCAGAGATACAGCACCGCCTGCAATATTGACCTTTGCAGGATCCAATCCGAGTATTTTCTCATTCGCTCGAGCAACAACGCTGAATGCTTCGTTAAATTCGAAGAGAGAAATATCGGACAATTCAAGATTGGCTTTTTTGAGAGCTATAGGAAGAGCTTTCGACGGCGCAATTGTAAAGTCTATCGGATCAACGGCTGCATCACCGTATGCTAAATATAAAAATGTCAACAAATCATAATAAATTCGTTTGCCGGTAAGAAAAAAAACACTTTATGACGCGAGAAAAACTTACAAATAATACGAGCAAGAGGCTTTAGCCCAAGTTCGTCAGCCTTTGCCCGGGTTGAAAGTAGAAGCGCACTTGCGCCATCATTTATTGTCGACGAATTCGCCGCCGTAACAGTGCCTGAATTGAAAAAGTATATATTGCTTTATCATCAGACCGAACGAATCTCCACGAAAAAAAGAAAAACCAACAAACGCACACAGCCAACGTACCATCTGCCTGAAATGCTGGTTTCAAGGATGGAATCTTGTCAAATTTAACGTTCTTATATTCCTCATCTTCGTTCACTATAATTTCCTTTTTTTTGTCCTTGACAACTACCGGCACAATTTCAGCTTTAAATATCCCATTCTAGTGAAAAGAAACCCCACCCAGCTTAGTGTTGAGAATTCTATTTTAAATTGTAAACGCAAGTTAACATTAGTCAAACTCGAACCTTCCATGCTTCTGCGGATCGTTTGTACGATTCTATTGCATGCGAATCTTGTTGTTCGCGCGAAATATCGAATTTTGTTGCGGTATTTTCGGCGCAGTTACCCTAACCCAGTCATGTAAGTAAGTATACAAACTACACACTTTATACTGAAAGTCAAATTCGAATATGTTCGTGATCGTAAAAAAGAAAAGTTTACCATACTAATGACGCGTAAGAATTAGATCGCGAAAATATCCAATAAAATTCATTAGCACAAAACGAATCATGATTGTGATCAGTTGTTGTAACTCAATTATATAACTTACTGTATCTGATTGTAAACATCCCAAAATCCATCCTTTATAATTGCATCAACAAGAAACTGATGTCCATAGGTAGCACCTCTAGGTACATAGTAAGGCGCGTTAGACATGCTTTCCATCCCTCCAGCAGCCATTATCGATCGATCTCCTAATAATAAACTTTGTGTGGCAAATATAACAGCTTTCATTCCGGATGCGCAGACTTTGTTAATCGTTGTTGCCTCGGTTGATGTGGGAAGACCTGTGCAAAGAAGATCGGGGTGAGCGTCCCATTCAGCAAAGAACTAGAAGGCTGGTACAAAGGCAGTGTACTGACCCGCTTTTATTACCGCCTGCCGAGCAGGTGATTGTCCCAGATTCGCTTGTAGGACATTACCAAGGAAGACCTCCTCGACTTGTTCAGGTTTAATCCCTATATGAAAACGGTTGGTGCTGATTCTTAACTTTGTCTCTTTTCGCGGAGATCGGGTAATTTATGGAAAACCTTACATACCAGCTCTGTCAACGACTGCTTTCAATGCAGTAGCACCAAGTTCGACTGCTGATACTTTTTTCAACGATCCATTGAAACAACCTACAGGCGTCCTAGCGGCTGATAGAATAACAACATCCTAGTAGGTATTCAAGTCAATCAGCGTTTTGCTCAGATAATTTAATCGGCTTTCGTCAAAGAAAATATACTAACATTCGGACGGCTAGTTGAATAGTTACGAACGTACTATCAAGAGAATGCGTTAGACTGTAAACTTTCATTGTTTACATGTTCAAACTCCAAAGCACGCATATTAATAACTGTCTAAAACCTTGGACACTGTTTGTAATCGTCTCGCTGAAAGGCCCCACATCTTTTTGGTTGAGAGAAGAATGTGGAAATTGTTGATTTCTGAGTTATAAAATTTTTGAGATTTGTCATCGTTGTGTTACCTCGAAAATTTAAATAGGAGATTGATAAATTGCATCAATATCTGTTCCTGCATACCGATACGGATAATCGAGCCGCTTTTACCGTGATCTGCATAACTTTAAAAAATCATCAATGCACCAAGATTCCTGTTCGCCCGGAATTCTAAAATAAGGAATGTGCAATGTAACACACGCGTTGAGAACGAGATTTGTTCTTTCAAACTATGTCGGTAGCATTAGCATCAGGGACTGTTAATAGTCCAGCA